GTTTTATCTATGATCTAATTATATTGCAAGTTTACCAACAAATTCGAATTGAATGCCACATAAAATTTGATTGAAGTAGGAGATGAGATTTCAAGTAACCGCTTCTAATATTGTACCCACAAATTGAATTCTCTAATCACGAATTGATTTTTCTCGTCACAGTTCAGCAAAAAAATCCAATGCAGACTACATAAGTTCTAATCATCGTCAGAGAATACATTTCAGATAAACCCTCCAAATATTTTGATCACAAATTGAATGCTCTATTCACGCATCGATGTTTCTCGTCACAGGTTATTTTGTACAAAAGTCGAAACTCATATTACCTACTGATATAATTACATATATTTCTTCTATTACATGCTCTTTGTATATGTGACTTATGCATATACTGTGTATCATGGAACATGAAGGAAAAATATATTAAGTATGTACAATGAATTGTGACCTATGTTTCAGTTATTGTGACATCAATGTTAGTCATATGTGACTTGTTTGAAAATGTACCTATATTTTATTATTGTCATTCCTGTATTAACTCTGTGAATCGTATTATTTTCATTGTGAGGCTAATATTGATATTAATTTTAATCTATAGAAATGGTGTACGTGCATGTATGTTTGTTGATTAGATCCCAATTATCGTTGGCGTTGATAGATCATAATTGCAGTTATATAAATCTTGTGGATACAATTATGACAGAGTTTGGTTGGATTCTACAAATGTAGCAGTCTCATTGAACTATATATTGAATGATGATTTCACTCCGATTAGAATAAAAAAATGAAAATAATGTCATATTTTACATTCTGTTGAAGGATATGGATTGTGAACCTGCTAAATACCCATTAATCATTTATGTAACTAATGAGAAATTGAACAACCATATATCATGGTGACAGTTAATGTACATTCTAGTGGTGAGCTGTGTACATTGCAGGTAATGGCATTTGACATATGCGAAGCATCAGTTGAAAAAATGGATCACGTGTGAGATCGAAGTTACAGTTATATCTATTGCAGATGCTAGAGAGGTAGAAGAAGGAATGGTCTTCCGTGATAAAAATATTTTGAAATTGAGCCTGTCATTTTTTGTCATACAGAATATATTTGAGTTTATGGATATACAGTCCGATAAGAAAGAATATGTTGTAAGGTGTTCACATGGTGAATGTAGTTGGATGTGTAGATCGTCAAAATGGGGGTAAAATGGTTCTATTTAAGATCAGAAAAATTGGAGATGGTCACATATGTGCTTTAAATATAATGTTGGGGTGGTCACAAGGCAAGTATCAACTATAGTTTATTAACTAGCATCAAGTACAATTACACATCGTCATGTACTATATATACTTGAAAGGATATATGTAGTGATATGTTGCATATTTATGGGTTTTATTTGAA